CGAAAGATTGTAGAACTGAGGAAAAGTGATCATTTGACCCCCAAAGGAAGATGACCTACCTTGCGGTTTTTGGTCACTGTTGATTGACTTCTCTTCTATGCTCTTTTGACCTTTTCAGCAAATTGGGGAAAACATATATAATGAATTAGCTGACGTTTCCTGACTTCAAAATGCACGTAGAATGGGTGTTGATAAAGAGTGACCCAGAGGAAGAGGGCAGAAATCCTAGGCCTTTCCATAGGCTGTGCCATGAGTTTGAAAATCACAGTAAGAAAAGGGAAGAAACATGAGTTGAGTTTGCATATCATACATGTGTAGAAATAAGTATGATGATAATGATAGTGATTACTATTATTATCATTATTATCATTATTAATAATATTATTATCATTTTTATTATTATCACTATTATTATTATTATTTTATTATCATTATCATCATTATCAATATTATTTTTATCAATATTATTATTATCATTATTATTATCATTATTATAAGTGGGTAGATAACTAAGACTTTTAAAACAACAAATCAAGAACCATTATTAAAAACCCTAGCGATTTCAATACTGAAGTACCATGGACTGAGTGCATGAGATTCGAAACATGCAAAATGTGTAAAATCATTAGGGAAAGTTTTCATTAGACAACATAGTAGGCATGAATTACTGGAAAATACCTTTTCACTGATACCTTTTTAATGGATGTATTTCATATCCTTGACAAGAACGTGAAGAAAAGATTTTATCATCTGTGTATCCTTTGGAAAGTCGGCACCGAATCACAAATACAGAAAAGGGAGGAACTGATACAGCATATCCCTCCTGGCATGGATGAACGTGCTATAGCATAGGATATGAACTCAAACATCTGTACTTATTCTAAAACGCTGCTTCGGAAAGTACTTTAACGTTTTCCTCCCTTTCCCTCAGCGCCATTGCTTTTCAGTGCCTATTTTAACCCTCGTGAATGGCAAAGCTATTATCAACACACCGTTTTAAGACAATTATATTACCATTTTGCGAAGACGGAGATTCCTCTGGTAAACGGAACCAAGGCTCAACATCATATCTGGAATGCAAGATTATTACTGCATGTTATGTTTCATGCATTCTGAAGTATCGGCATTCTCTCTGTATCTATCTGTCTCTATTTCTGTCTATCCCTCTGTATTCCTTTCCCTGTCTCTGTCCCTGTTTGTTTTCTCTTTCTTTCTTTCTCTCTCTGTCTGCCTATATTTCTGTTTATCCATCTGTATTCCTCTTCCTGTCTCTGTCCCTGTCTGTTTCTCTTTCTCTCTCTCTCTCTTTCTCTCTATCTCTGTCTGTTTTTCTCTCTGTCTGTCCGTCTCTCTCTCTCTCTCTCTCTCTCTCTCTCTCTCTCTCTCTCTCTCTCTCTCTCTCTATATATATATATATATATATATATATATATATATATATATATATATATATATATATATATATATATATATATATATATAT